TATTCTACAAATTCCTCTTGATCAATACATCGACTGCAGTATAAACCTTAAATAAAGCACTATTACACTTGAAGTACGCACTGTTCTTGTCTTAGTAGGTTACTTAGAAGCATAAAAAGGCAAAACCTTTTGGAATTGGCATCTGGACATTTGTGCCAAGGAAACTGCAGATGGAATACACATTAAATTTATTCCATCATTGATTGGAAACGCTGATCCTTTATGGCTTCACGTTTCTTTCCTCATTAATCTTAGTTAACCCTCTCAAAACAACGCCAGCTTTGTCGGTCCAAGTATCTAAAACCCACCATGCAGAGAAGGCAGCTTTTTAAGAAGGGTTTGATTCCTAGCATGAGTAAATCAGCCAACAATCCCTGTCTTAGAAAATGCCACTGCTTTCTTTTTTAAAATATTAAAACAAGAAAGAACAGATTTCTGCACAACTCGGGGTTGGGGGGATAAGTGGAAGGCAGAAGAGAAGGGGATGTTAGCAGAGCCCAGTGGGAAGCCCATGGATTGCCAGAGAAGAGATGAGCAGGAAGCTCATGGACTTGTTGCTACAGCACCAGCCACGGGGAGTCATTTTCAGCACACATCCAATGTCACCCATGACCAGAACCTGGCGCAGCCAGGAACTCTGCAGGTCAATGTTTCGTGACTTCTACAGCTCAAGGAGAGGTGCTTCCCAGTCAAATATACGTCTGGGGTTTGGGGATAATGCAATGGTTCTAAACACAAAAGGAATACTCTCAGATGTAATGATTGTGTTCCCTGCACCCTAATTTGGCTAACTGATATGATACTAACTTTCCATTTTTCTGCCAAACAGAAAGAAATGCCTGGAATCACTATTTCCTTGCCCACAGCAATATAGGGGCCTTGGATAAGCCTCATGCTTATCCAACAGCTGGCCCTAAACTGCCCTACTGCCCCTCGGAACAGGCCACAACTGCCCTGTTCTTCCTAACAGCCTTACAAGAGTGTGCACCAATCCTGACCTTTTTATGTCTTTCTTGCTGTTCCCCTTCTAACAAGAGACAGAGAGAAAGAGGGGAAGAAAAGAAATACTATGAAAACTTGGACACAAAATTCCTAAGGCTTCTAATTCTAGAAAAAATAGAGAATTCCTAGAAAGAAATAGTAACAATAACCACCTGTTTATTACAGCAAAAATTTTAAAATATTTAACAAAGGACACAAAACCCTCTCTGCTGCCATGCAGCATGCATTTAGCTTACTGCAGCCTTATGGATGGGGCTCCAGAAGGTAAAAGCCCTTTTTGAATCCATGAAAAGATCAACATCTGAATATATATTAAAGATAAAGTCTAAGTACGTCATAAAAGGCAGAAAAACACCAGCCTAACTTCTAGGTGGATGCAGGAGCCACTGGTCCCCACTGAGGGGACAGAGCCCTGGGGAAGGAGGTGCTAAATGGATTATGCTCACACTGCATCCACATAGGCCTGGTTTTAAATAGCGGGCTGTCTTATTGGAAGGGAAATATAAATCTCCCAACCCAGAAGAAGATGTGATCTCAGCAGAAAATGGAAAACAATAGCTGGAAAGTAATACCAGGACTTTCAGATGAGATACAAAAAAGTTAGTCCGCATATGATTTATCTTCATGCATCTAGACATTTGAAAACAGCTGTTCGGATCATTCCTGAGTACTTTGATTTAGAAAGGCCCCCACATGCCCAGAATCAGTCTGGGGCACAGGACAGGAACAGCGTTGGCCCTGGGACTGACTAGAACCCATCTACCCAGTCACTGCACGCCATCCCCAACAGAGCGCCATCTATGGGATCTGTCAGACTTCCCTCCCCTTCCAAGCAGAACTGAAGGGCAGTTAAGAGTCACAGTCCTGGCTCTGAACTGTGGCTCTGTCATCTTCTGCCCAAGTGACAAGCCCTCGAATTTCTGCATGCCTCTGTCACCTCCACTACAAATGGAGATTCTGTCTCCTACCCAGTAACCTTTTGGCCCCCAGAACAGCCCCCAGGATGCTCTAAAAGGCCACGCCCCTCCATCGGCACTTGTATTCTTCGTCACACTCTCAGCTCCGGATGGTTTCTGTCTACTTCCAAAGAGAGAGAAAATCAGCCATTATAAGAACAGTCAACAAATGAGCATCGAGATTTGAAGGCTGTTCCAAAAAGTGAGTTTGAATGTTTGAGCAATGCTCCACTTTGGTGGGGTCACTTAGGCTTCCAAAGTGACTCTGGAAAAGGTTACAGGTGTCGAGGAACTCCGGCCTAGCTGCTTGCAAAGTCACCTCTCTGCTTTGACCTGAAAGTCAGAGCTTATCAGAAACACCCAAACATCTGAAAAATTCTTCTGTTTCTCCAACTGTGAACCAACCCACTGCCAAATGAGCGTGCCAGAAGACAGCGAGGATCCAATTACAAACCATTTACCTGTCGTGCCTGTCCCATTCATGAGGTCCCAGCTCTGTGGCCCAGTGTTTGCTCTGCTTTATGAGCGGCATTGACAGAAGGCCCTGCCCAGGCTGGGTCCTGATGACAGGCATCCCTCGTCACACTCCAGTGAACTCTTCTGACAGAGTCAGGACCCCTGGGGGCAGAATCCTGTGACCTAATTGAGTGGCAATCCCCTTTCAGCCATGTCACTGCCACCAGCAGGGCCCTGGGCTCTGTGTAGCCACCTCAGACAGTCTCTCCCCAAGCCAGGCTTGGGTCCCCATAGCCTCTCCTGGCTGAGTGAGCGGGACCTGCAGTGTGGCCGGCTGCTCACAGCAGCTTGGTCCAGTTAAGCCCTCCACGCTGGGCCAGCTCCACACTGGGGACCAGGCAGAACCTGCACTTTGCCTTCTTACAGGAGAAAAACACTTTTTGGATTGAGGACAAAAGATCCGCTGAAAATAGCCTTCCTGTATTTTCACATGAAAAAAAAAAAAAAAAAAAAAAAAAAACGTTGAAGACAATGAGCTTCACCAGATGCAGCCAAATTCCAGGACAGAACCCTCCCCACCGCCCCGCCTCCACCGCAGCCTCCTTCTGGCTTGTCCTTCAAAAAACAGAAACCATGGGTTTCTGTTTTTTGTTTTTTGTTTTTTTCTAATTTCATAGTAATACATACTTTTGGTAGGAAATTCATAAAAATGAAGAAAGAAGAAAAATCTAAGACATTTATCATTCTAATTCTTCTTCCCAGAATAACCACAATTTTTGGTATATTATTCTAATTTTTTTCCATGAGTGTAATATTTTTTTTTGTTTTTTAAAACAAAAACACAATTATACCCTACATGTCTTTTTTCGGTTATGAACATAGTCTGAATGACTTTCAAGCCTTTAAATATTTTCTTTTCATGGCATTGAAAGGGTGCAGAGTTGTAGCACTGTGTGTTTGCCCAAATAAATGCCATGTATTGAGATAAGTCATGCCATGAGGAACATCCTTACCAGCCCATGATTATTTCTTCAAAATTCATAAAGAAGGATAAATTCAGAAAGAACTGGTTTAGTTCAACTGACATGCATTTTTTTTTAAGCAGGAAAATGCTTTTAAAAAAATAAATATATAAAACAAGTGGCAGCTGAGAGCGGTGGTTCACGCCTATAATCTTAGCACTTTAGGAGGTCATAGCAGGAGGATCGCTTGAGGTCAAGAGTTCGATACCAGCCTGGCCAACACGGCAAAACCTTGTCTCTACTAAAAATACAAAAATTAGCCAGCCGTGTTGGTGCACAATTGTAATCCTTCCTCCTCGGGAGGCTGAGACTGAGAATCTCTTGAACCTGGGAGACAGAGGTTGCACTGAGCTGAGATTATGCCACTGCACTCCAGCCTGGGCAACAGAGCAAGACCCTGCCTGAAAAAAACAAAATAAGTGAATAAATAAAATGGCAACCTCATAAGTTAGAAACTTGCCACACTGTTTTTTGAAACACGCTCCCACAGGAGCTCCTTGATCTCCCCTCTGTGCTGCTAACACCACCTTTCTCAGGGGCCATGAGTGTGGCTGGCACTGTTTCTGCTTCTCAGTGTGGCCTCTGCAAGAACCACCACCCAGCATCACCCTGAGCAGAACGACCACTTTGCTTACAGCATCTCTGCTTTGCTTACAGCATCTCCTCTCCAATGCCGGCGGCAGAGGAGCACTCCTTCTGGGTAGGAAGAAACCCCTCTGCCAGCCGTTACGGCCTCTGTCCAGGGTCAGCCTCCCCCTGTTCTGGGAAGCCTGCCCTCCCATCTCTTGGTGGAGATACGGAACCTGGGGGTGGGGTCTGCTCAAGGCAGGTGGGCTCCTGAGATTTACTTAAGGTGGCAGGGGTGGGTGGGGGGGAAACCCAAACTCAGTGTAGTTCAACCTGCGTCTCTCCATGGCCTCCCCGTCCCTCTGAGGGATGCTGCCCAGACCTGCAAGCCAGGCGTTCGAGGCGTCTTCAGGCATTAGGGACATCTTCAGTCTCTCTCTGTGCCTCTCTCTGCCTCTTTCACCAATCAATAGCTTGGCCACAAACCCCTACAACTTTCCCTTCAGAATATTTTCCCGGAGCTGGTGGTGTGATTATCTGGCACGCAGAGTGCTTGGCATGGCTCCTGGCAATACGCATTCCCCACAATTCTGTACCAATTGGCATACACATGTGTGTAGGTGTGCATGTAGATGGATGGATGTTTCCACGCACGACAGCCTTCTCTGGCTGCCCTCCTGCCCCCACTCTTTCTCTACCTGGACTCCAGGTTGGGGTGGGGAGTGGGAGGTTTGTTTTTTTTTCGTTTTGTTTTCTGTTTTTGTTTTTGTTTTTGTTTTGAGATGGAGTTCTGCTCTTTCGCCCAGGCTGGAGTGCAGTGGTACAGTCTCAGCTCACTGCAACCTCAGCCTTCCAGTTTCAAGCGATTCTCCTGCCTCAGCCTCCCGAGTAGCTGGACTACAGGCACCCACCAACATGCCTGGCTACTTTTTGTATTTTTAGCAGAGATGGGGTTTCACCATGTTGGCCAGGCTGGTCTCAAACTCCTGACCTCATCATCTGCACGCCTCGGCCTCCCAAAGTGCTGGGATTACAGGCATGAGCCACCGCACCCAGCCAAGTCTTTTAAGCTATCAATCTGAGTGCTCATTCATCTGCTTAGACCTTTCAGTGGCTTCCTGTCATCCCCAGGGACAAGTCTCGAATTGCTCACACACCTTACAAGGTCCTCTCGATCTGTTCCCACCACCTCTCCAGGGTCACCTCTCCATTTTCCTCCAATGTTCCTCCCCCACTATGACCTCTGCACACTGGTCTAGACAGCACTGTCCACCATGTAGCCACTAGCCACACGCGGGCATTCAGATTTAAATTTAAATCAATTAAAAGTAAATGAAATCAACATTCAGTTCTTCTGTTGCAATAACCACACTGCATGCTCAGCTACCATCTTGGACAGCACAGAGGAAGAACATTCCCAGTGTGACGTTCCCTGGACAGCGCTGCTCCAGACCTAGAGAGTACCATTCAATCTCTCCAAAGAAGCATGGTCTCTCCCCTGGTAGTTCTGCCCCTACATCTAGGGAATCTGGGGACACATCAGTGAATCGTTGTCAACATCAAACCCCATACTATGTTGGTAAGCATCATTCTTCTTAACGTATCTGGCTGGTTTTGTTCCTGAACTGTTTCATCAGTTCTTGGGCGAAAGACTCCAAGTGTAGTAAGTGGAACACCCCTTAGCCTGCCTGATGGCAAATTCCACTTTCTCAGTGTGTGTTTTCTAAAGCAAAGCTCCCTCCACCTATTTAATGCCCCAGTCTGTCCTTGCAGGTGTCCCCATCAGCCTAGGTGCAGGTGCATCACACAGGGTGCCTCATCTTTCTGAATACACCCTTGGAGCCCCATGACCCCCAGAGACTCTCCCCTTGTACACTCTGCAGCTGCAGCTGGAGCAGCAGGGGCTGGAGGGGTCACTGTCTCCACCACACAGCCTGATGCCCCTCCTTGGAGGCAGTTCCAGAGCCAGGCACAGCTTGGCCCAACACACATGGTCAACCAGACTTTGAGACTTGGAAGGGGGCCAGAAGTTCAGAACCCACCCAACTGGTGCACCCAAAACCTCATGTGACCGGCTCCCTCTTGTTAAGACATGAAAGGCTCTACCCAATATGAAAGGAGGAAAAAGTGATCCAGGAGAGGAAACAAGCCAACAATTGCCATGCATTCATGCCTAGTCAGCAATTAGCACAAGAGAGCTTTCAGTGTCAACGCATGAAGAAGACCCGAGGGGCTGCAGCCAGGAAGGGGGCCCGGGGTTTCCGAAGGTGAGCAAGAAGAAGAAGAGGGAAGGACAAAGGTGGAGGGAGTAGAGTCTGAATCCCACCCCGCCCCCCAGTTTGCTCGAGGCCCACCCTGTTCTTCCCAAACACACTGGCCCACCTTGTAAGCAACTTCCACAGTGAACATTTTCAACACAAAAATATTAATAATGAGGCACCTTCTCAAGGATCTCCTGTGAAACTTGCCTTTGGTTAAGGAATTCCTAGCCCAGGAAAGCAGTGGGAATCCTGCAGTAAGTGGCTTTTTAAGATCAGCTGGCAGGGTCCCAGGAGGCTGCTCCATAGTCGATAAGAATTACTAAACATCATTGCAAAGAGTGCAGAGTAATTCCACGGACCAAAGAGAAAAGGAAGATGAAGTTAATTGGCACCAGAAGTAAAGACCAAACCCCAGACTTGCCATAGAGTATTTGCTGACCAGAAGGGCTTGGAGGAAATCTGAAGGAGGCCTGTGGGTTGCAATTATCCATTCTTTGTGGCCTCCGGAGGCCCTGGGTACCTTGGTGATCACAGCGAGAGAGTGGCTCTTATCTGCAGGACATTAACAGCTCCAGTCCATGGGCCTCTGGGGGTCCTGTAGAGACCAAATCACATGCATTATTGGAGGAGACAGCATAAGGGGGTGAGCATGAGGACAAAACTTACAGCTGTACCTTGCAGCTTCTCATTGTAGAACTAGGAGTTCCTAGTACCCAAGGGGCGGCCACCACTGGACCCAGCAGCCAGTGGGGAGATGGCACGGGGAGAAGCTTTGGGAGCCTCCAGTCCACTTGAGCTTTTGTACCTGGAACCACCTTTCTGGAGATGTGGGACAAGCACGGTGGAGATGTCACTGCTGAAAGAGAAGAGCAAGCAGCCAACCTCCTAGTCCTTCCCACCAAATGTTTGCTCCTGCCTGGGAGGTGACCTAATGCTTCCCATGCAGGGATGCAGCTTCTGTTTGCAGTGATACAATGAGATTTCACCACTCCTAAAGCTCCTTAGCCCTGTGCCAGGGGTTGTCATTCTAGATCCCACTTCCCAGGGCCGGCTCCATACCTGTCGTGCCTGGCTGAGAAAAGAGCTTCGCACGAGCATCGCATGGGTGCCTTTGAATTGCACAAGTCTCCTACTTCACACTTGGGCAATGGTCCTCAGACAGAGAATACTTTTGGTTGGGATATGAAGCACCTTTTTTTCCTCTCGTACAGTCCCTGGAATGGAAGCGCACCATGGAGACTGACTTCATGCATTTGCCAGTTTCCTTCCTGAAGTTGACATAAAGCAGCATTTGGTTTTGATCCAACACAGAAAAACCTCACATCGGTACTGGAGGGAGTGCATGCAATTCATGGTTTAAAATGGAATAAAAACCCCAAATGAGGGTGTTTTGGCGGGGGGGCTCTACAGTTGGTGACAAAGGGCTTCACTTTAATGTCTAAGGACCACAAATTACACAAGCGGTGCTAGCTTAGGGGAGGCTGTCTTCTTCACACTGTGCTCCCTAAAGTACCTAGACAAGGCATTTCCATTCTATCCCACTGACTCAGGGACAGAAAAGAAAATCATCCTGAAAAACTCACTGACTTTAAGACTTTGCCATGCATACTGGTCACTGCCCAGTTATAGGGTCCAATACCAAATTGTCCTCAATTTCTTCCCCAAATACCAACCCATACAGAATTAAGTGGGCTCTATGATGCTAACACGGTTTGCCTTTACATTCCTCCCAAGGCACTCTCCCGTCATGAAGTGTGGCCGGGCAGTGGGGCTGCAGTAGCCACAGGCTGTCCTTGCTCCTGCCTGCAGAAGCTGCTGGCTGCTGGCTGCCGCTGATCAGCTGGCCCCCAAGGCGATGGCTTAACAAGCCCCAGTAGAAGCGAATGGGAGGGGCTTCTCTCTTCCCTCTGCAAAGAAAATGAAATGGATAGAAATTATATTGGGAAGTCATTCCCGCCCACCCACATCCATCATTACACAGGAATGGGTTGACAAAGGATCATGACCCATGTGAAGGATTATACAGCCAGACCCACGGCCGCCTCTTCCACCGCCCCCCCATGCCACCCAATCATGTGAAGGATTATACAGCCAGACCCATGGCCGCCTCTGCCACCTTCCCCCGTCCCACCCAATCATGTGAAGGATTATACAGCCAGACCCACGGCCACCTCTGCCACCGCCCCCCATCCCACCCAATTTAAGAAATCCCAGTTTGCTTGAACACCATCTGGTTCTCAGACTCCCTATCCCCACACTCTCAGTTCTTCACCCCTAAAATTATAATAACCAGAAATGAATCTGCCAGAAGGCTTTAAGGATTAATCGTTATATCACCTATGAAAATAAACTGAAATTATTTTCTAAAATAAAAATGCTCTAGGAAGGCCGGGGACAGTGGCTCACACATGTAATCTCAGCATTTTGGGAAGCCAAGACGAGTGGATCACCTGAGGTCAGGAGTTTGAGACCAGGACCTGCGTAAAACCCCATCTCTACTAAAAATACAAAAATTAGTTGGGTGTAGTGGCAGGTGTCTGTAATCCCAGCTACTCAGGAGGCTGATGCTGAAGAATCACTTGAACCCAGGAGACGGAGGTTGCAGTGATCTGAGATTGTACCACTGCACTCCAGCCTGGGCAACAGAGCGAGACTCTGTCTCAAAAACAAACAAACAAACAAAAACTCTAGGAAGAAAAATTCAAAAATCTCTCTCTCAGACTTTAGGTTAGGGCTAGAATGATAATTTGAGTTAGAGTATAATTGACAAAAGGAGAGTTTGTTGTTGTTGTTATTGTTTTTACCTTAATCTGGGTGGGATAAGTTAATAAAATTAAACATATTTAGAGGTAAAGATTATTTTTCTTCATCCTAAAGTGAATGGGAAGACAATAAAATCGTTTAAGCAAAGGGACGACATGATAGGTTTGAATTTTAGAAAGATCAAGAAGGGAGGCGGCCAGGTATAGGGAGAGCTATGCAGTGGGATGGGCACCCTCCACATCATTCCAGGCACACGGATACAGAAATTACTGGAACAGAGAGATGCCTGCCCTCACGGGGCTTACAGTCTAACTGGGGGAGACTGAAAACAAGCAAATTAATGAAGAAAGCATGTACACCAGAGTGCTGGGGAGGAAAATACGCAGGGAGGGGAAGGGGATCTATCGGGTGAGTGGGCACAATTTTAATGATAGTGCTCGTCAGTATCTCAGATCCTTTCCATATAGTTTGAGACTTTTATCAAGTTGTCATCCACGTGTTGGGGCCACCAGCAGTGGATGGAGGAGGGCACTGAAGCAGAAAGAAAAGCAGGGGCTGTAGGTCTCATGGCCACTGTGCTTGGGAGAGCAACAGCCTCAGTAAGAGAGGGACCATGACCTTCAGATCTAAAGCTGACCCCAGTGAACCCCAACGTTTGAAACTCACCTCCCATGCTGTCCCCATCCACCTGACCTGCACACCTAACTCCCTACAAACCAAAGGTCGTTAGGATGCCCATGGCCCACGGTTCACCTGGGGGTTCTGTCTCAACGTATTGAAGTGGTCAGCTGGCTATTCACTCCAGGACTCATTCCAAAGATGTTTATTGAACATCAGAGGTGCTTGGCACTAGAGTGGGGGAACCAGGGAAAGAAGACACGTTGGAAGAACACATTTAAACCACTGTCCATACTCCAGTGGGGGCACTGGAGGACAGACTAAAATACAATGTCAGTATCAGTGGACACAAGGAAAGAGCAATATACCAATTAAAGTCCAAATTCTTTCTGTCTAAGGCATCCACAGAAGCTTTCGAAAAGAGATGATATTGGATCTGAGGTTGTGAAGAATGAATACGTTTTTCAGGCTGAGAAGAGATGGAAGAGCATTCTAGGCAGAGAGAACAGCAGACGCCAAATCACAGAGGTGGGATAAGCCCAGATTGTCTTAGGATGACCAAGTGGTTCAGGGTGGCCGGAGCATGGGGATGTGGTCAGGAGGAGCAGAGATAAAACTGGAGGAGGATATTGGGACTGGGCTGTTACATCCTTATAGGCCACAGTAAGGGCCTTGTCCTTTCCTGCAGGTGATGGTGTGCAGGGGTCATCAGGGTGGAACTGGCACTGAAGGGGGAAGGTGGGTTGGGAGAGACTGTGGGCAGCGATACTGAAAGGAGCCCACTGCAATCATTGATTATCTCACCGTTTCTGTGGGTTAGGAGTCCAGGCATAGCCCAGCTGGGTGTACTGCTTAGGGTCTCACCAGGCTGCAAATGAAGTGTCAACTGGAACAGGGGTCTCATCTCAGGGCTTCACTGGAAGGACTCATGTGCCCATGCTCGTGGTTGTTGGCAGGATTTGGCTCCTCACAGCTGTAAACAGCTTTGGCTTTTCTGCTGGCTGCTGCCTGGGGGCCACCCTCAGCTTCAACAGGCTGAGGCGCAGTTCCAGTCCAGTGATGTGTCCACTTGCTTCCTCAGAGCCAGCAGGCAGAGAGAGACCCAGCAAGACTGGCACTATACTCTATATCACATAGTCATATAATCACATACATCCCGTCACCTACCCTGTGTTCTGTTGTTTAGAAGCAAGTCACAGACCCCACTACTGTTTAGAAGCAAGTCACAGAGGGCCACCAAGGAGAACAGGGCCACCTAAAAATCTGCCCTCCAAGGAAGACCATGCTCTTCACTAACGCAGAAGGAAGATAGGGCAGATGAGTTCTGATCTAGATGCATGGAGTGAAGGCACCTGTGCATCACCAAACAGAAACAGGGGTCCGATTCTCAGCAGCAAGATCAAGGATGGAGAAAGAGATGCAAGAACCAATGGCCCCTGAGTGGCAGGTGAGCAGGAGGGGCTGGATGGGGCCATCCAGGCAAGTGTGTGGTCACAGCCGATATCAGCAAGAGCAGCTGTGTCTCCCTGACCCGGGTCCTTTCCAAACATAAATACAAATTGTTTCCTGCCAAGAACCAGGAGGGAGATTAATCAATAATGCTGCTGAAAAAAGACCACATATCGCATGATTTCATTGATATGAAATATCCAGGAAAGGCAAATCTATAGAGGAAGAAAGTAGAGGGTGGCTCCCTGGGGCTGGGATGGGAATGGAGAGGAGCTGCAAATAGGCACAAGGGATCTTTTCAGGTTGATGAGAAAGTCTTCAATTTAGATGATGGTGATGGATACACAACTCTGTGAATTTACTAAAAATCATTGACATGTACTTAAAACAGACACATTTTATGGTATGTTAATTGCACTTCAATAGAGCGCTGCCTAAAAAATGCTGCTGCCAGATGACACTGCAGGCAACAAGAGTCAAGGGTCAGGGGATCACACAATGGCTGCACAAACAGTGGGGAGCACTTTGCTCACAGTAAGCCCACCCTCCTCCCCAGGAGGCATAAACTCAGGATGGGGCTGGTGCAGCTATGTGGGGGGCACTGGGCAAGACCTTCCAGGCCCACACTCAGAAAGAGCTGCACCAGACCATGTATCTCCTGGAGAGTGGCAGGTGTAGCCCTTGCCCTTTCACTCATCCAACAAAGCTCCTGAGAACTTGCAGGTCCCAGCCCAGATCCTGTCCCCAAGGTGCTGACGGGCCACGGTGGATGCACCCACACAGAGAGTGCCTTACAGGACACAATTGCCCCAGTGGAAACTCATCCCAAGCACAGCCAGGGCCCCTGGAAAAGCCAGTAATTCCCAGGACCACGCCAGCCCACAGGAGAGTTTGTTTCATTCTCGGTACCTTGGGTTGTTGTGAGCTGTAAAACTTCCTGTGTTGAAACCATGGTGGACTCAGGGCCAAACAAAGGCTGAGTCCAGCTAGTCCCTAATCAAATATCCAGGAGTCAGAAGCTCCTGAGCCTCCCTTCCTTCTGTCTTCTTTCTGCCTGATATGATTTGGTTGTGTCCTCACCCAAATCTCATCTTAAATTCCCACGTGTTGTGGGAGGAATCTGGTGGGAGGTAACTGAATCATGGGGGCAAGCTTTCCCATGCTGTCTCGTGATAGTGAATAAGTCTCAAGAGATCCGATAGTTTTATAAGGGAGAGTTTCCCCACACAAGCTCCCTCTCTTTGCCTGCTGCCATCCATGAAAGACGTGACTTGCTCCTCCTTGCCTTCTACCATGACTGTGAGGCCTCCCCAGCCATGTGGAACTGTAAGTCCATTAAACCTCTTTCTTTTGTAAATTGCCCAGTCTCAGGTATGTCTTCATCAGCAGCGTGAAAATGAACTAATACACTGCCTCTGCCTTTGGGGATCAGCACCATATCTTGATGCCAAAGTTCCCCAGGAGAATCAGGTCACCAGGGCTTTGAAATCAGAAACGACTTTCTTCCCAATACTAAAGA